TTTTTTGCTTAATTCTTTCCCCCAAGTAACTGGAATTATTTTGGTAGGAATCAGATATGCAGGCAACACAAGAGGGCAGTGGAGCACCACACATTCATAGCTGCAGGGAGGCTGAAGGTTTGCAGTTTTGGAAGATGCAGCTTGTTAGTTCCTGCAAGTATATCAGGCAAAATCCAAAGAAACAAGACAAGACAAAATAAGGCAAAAACATGCAGCACCTTAAAGACTATTATGTTTTTTCATGGACACATCCACTTCGTCAGACATAAGCAAACAGAATGGAATGTTGAATGAAATATCAGTTTCATGACATATTAGGAAAATGCAAATGAAAAAGCCAGCCATGGAAACATAAATGTGACTCTATAGCCTTGATTTTGGTTTTATCATATTTTTATTTAACCTTTTAATTCAGTTTATCTTGATCTTGAGGAGATCAAGACAAACTGAATTAAGGAGATCTTAAACTCTTTATCTTGAGTTTAAGGAGATCTTAAACTTGTTAAAAGTTACTTTATAGTGGAAGATCATTGACTGAAGTATGGCATCATTTGTGGCATTAGGCTGCCATTTTTAGTTGTCGACACTGATTGCTTTAAGCATGTTTTGGAACAGTGACTAGTATATTTTATAGCTAACTTTAAAATGTGACTATTCAACCAGTGAGGAAATATTTGTATAGAGAAGACAAAAATTGTAGTTTCTGGTTCTCAGGAAAAACACGTGTAGTAACACCCTACACAGTTTTTTTTTGGTTGTTTTTGTTTTTGCTTTAACTGCACAGAGTGTAGTCACAGCATCCACAGGGGGGAAACAGATGGAAGATTCATTTTCTTGCTGCCACAAAGATAAAAAACAGTGTTAGAAAAAGCTTATAAATAGCGACTCATCAGGTGGCCTGTGGGAAACAAGACTCACCTTTAGGAAACCAAACAAGGAACCTACACGTAAACTGGAAGACAGTTTGTCCTCACCTTCAATGTGTGCATTCATTCAGTGCATCAAGGGGGAGCTGAAGTACCTTAGCTGTCCCTGCTCCCAGCCTCCATGCCAAAGACATTCAGCATTTCTTTTTCTTTTTTTTAGAAGGCAGAGGAAAAGTCTTTTTAAAACTATAAGTTTTTTCCCTCCACAAAGTCAGAAGTTAAAAGTTGAAATAAACAAAAATATGTGGAGGGCTTAATATGTATTGTTAATGTGTGCATATGTAGGGCAGGAGAGGAACAGGTGTGCTTATGCATACACTTATCTATAACGTAGGGATGAAAGATCTATGGCCCACCAGATGTTCTGGTCTTATAGGTAGGGCTGATGGGAGCTGTAAACCAAAACCTCTAGAAATCTAATTGCATAATTATCACTTATTTGTTATGAGGATTGAAAAAGCCCATCTGAACTAAGAAACTCAAAAGGCACTAAGTCTCTGCATCTTGAGAGATGCCCCCAGGCAATAAAGAACTCCTAGATACTCTCAGAGTGACTAAGAATACTCTGCTGACTTTTGCTTCTGCTACTTTAAAGGACTATAAGGACTTCTTGTTCTGACCCTCCCCACCTTCCTAGTCTGATAACTCATGGCCCGTCCCCATTGGGGGAAGTTCGAGTATTATTATTATTTTATTTTATTGGATTTCTACCCCACCCATCTAGACCAAAGGTAGTCTGGTTGGTGCTTTAAAAGTTCTTATCTTTAGTGCAATCTGTTTTAACTCTCACTTCAGCAATCCTTCCTTTCCCACTAATTGACTTTTTCTTCCATGGGAAGGGTTCAGACAGGTCTTTAGCTCACCAGTTTACTCATGAGTAAGGTTTTCCC